CTCTGCTGCAGAATGTTCGGTGCTGAAGCCTCGCCACGTTCGGCTTGTGAGGCTGCAGGCTCGGCACGTGAGAATAGCAAAAAAGAAAATTAATAATAATAATAAAAAAATATTATTGGCTGCTTAGCTTTCCCTGCAAGTTTTGGCACAGAATATGTGCGTCATAACTGGTCACCTCTTTTGAAAGTGGAGTGGTCACAGGGCAGCCTGCCCTCCTGCGCTCCCGCCAGTAAGCTGCTTATTCACTCTGCACGTTCTTAATTTGCACGGTCTTAAAAATATGAGGGGCGGGATAACTCTTTTGAATGTAACATGTTGCTAGAAACAGCGCATATTGCATGAGGTGTGTTTAAATGCAGAGGTTTTGCCTTGAAAGTGTTTTTATGTGATCTTGGGCCGTAATCCCAGTCTGGGGCCTTAGGGGAGACCCGATGAGCAGACTGCTGTGTGCCGCTCTTCTGGAACTGCAGGTGAGCGCTGGCTGCCAGTTACCCGGTGAAATACTGTCAGTTTTCATCCTGGAGAGGCCCCGCTGTCACAGAGATTGTTCCCAGTTGCACACTGCTTAGATTTTGATCCTTCTGAGATGTAATCAGATTTGAAAGGATTGGATTTTTAATCAGAGGTGGTAATTATTTATTTATTTTGTCCTCCGCCCCGAAAAGTGCTCAAACGGAAAGGTGAAAGCATAGAATAAACTGCAGTTTTAGTCAGCTGCCTGTAGTTGTGTGAAGGAAGTTCTGTTTTGAAGGCTGTTGTGAGATAGGAGTCTTAATAGGAAGTTGCAGATTTAATTGATCTTCTGGACAGAGGTTTTCAGTTAAGAAAAAATAATCCTTAGAAGGCTGTAGGCCTTGTGGTGGCGTGGATATGAGTAGGTAGGGCCTTGTGAGCATTATTCTTTGTCATTAGTACTTTGGACTATTTTGGATGAAAGAAAAGCGCTGATCTTGAGATCCTCTCTGCTACAGGACGTAGCTTATCGGACTGTGCTAAGAGAAACAGATAGATGTTAATCAACCTGCCAGATTATTTTATGTAGGCAAAGAGTTTGTGCTTTTTTTTTTTGAGTTTTGGTGCTTTTAAAATACACATGCACGGTTTCTTACTAATTCTGGGATGAGCTGTTTCAGAGACAGATATGTTTGTGGTAGAAGAGAGTAATTAGCAAGTAAAAATTTGTCAGGAAATAGTTGAAGCGGAACATGTGGGTTTGTGAAACTTGGCTAAAACTTACTGTATGTACTGTAACTTCTGAAGAGTCATTACTGTGCTTCCCACTCCGGAACTGAGGAATGCTGCTGCTGCTTCAGGTGCACGTGTCTGTTGGTGTCCTCCACGTACTGGTGTGTGGGGCACAGCGTCGTACCACTCGTGGCCGAGAGAGAGACCTGCCCAAAGAAGCAGGCTGGCCTTCTGTTTTCTCCTCAGGCTGGGGAATTGCCTCGCGTTGTGTTGGGGGTGGACTACAGCATCCTCCTAACACTGCAGTCTGTCTGTATGTGGCTTTGTGGAGGTGTGCATTTTTGAGGATGGTGTAAATGGACACGAGGACAGGGATGTCAGCAGCCTCAAACCGATGGCATAATTTTAATAACTACCAGCCCATAAACAGTTTGAACGAAAAGTTTTATAGGAAGCTAGGAGGCAGCGTAAGACCTTCTCACCAGGCTGGTGATGCAAGAGGGGAAACCAACACTCACCTGGCGTTACTTCATACGGCCGTCTTGTACAGCGTTGCATCTTGATTTTTGCGTTGGGTAGGGATTAGTTAACTCTTGCACTTGCTCTGTGTGTTCAGACTAATTCCTCAGGGAGTCAAAGGCCAGGGTAGTCCTGGCATTTGGCATTCTATAGCGTGCATATAAATAGAAGCCACGTATTTACATACAGCTGCTGCAGTTGACCTCAGGCAACCCTGCTTTTTTGTTTGTTTAAATGTAGGTAGGGTGACTACAAATAATTAATAATGGAATTGGAAGGTTTCAATGACCACTAACTGTGGGGAGTCCTCCTTTCCTGCAGACAGCTTGATGTTCTGTCAGAACGCAGCTGGTATTTATAGATTGACCTTATATAGATTGATCTCATATACCAAGCTATGAAATTTAGGTTTTTTTAAAAAAAAATAATCCCAAAATGTAGCTAACATGCAGTCATGGGCTATATCAAAACTTTAATCTGAATACAGCACTAGCTCATTTAGTTTTTTCTTTGCTATTAGGAAATAAAGTTATTTCCTTATAGAACTTACTTTCCCTGAAAATAGTGGTGCAAGAAAGAGCACGCGGATCTGTGCACGGGTGCTGCATGTGGAGAGGAAACATAGCAAAGGGGCAGTTGAAGTTCCCGGGAGGTCTACGCGGGGTGACGACTGCTGGGTGAAGTTTGGCTGTTACCAGAAGATGACCTGTTGCTGAGAACTGGCGGGTGCTGAAGAAGCTCCGTGAACTGACGCCATGAGCCAGCTCGTTGCCAGTAGAGGGAGGTGGGGGGGAGTTTTCCTGTCCTTGAGAAAAACATCGTCATCCTGGAACAGGCCAGGAGTACACAGGCCTGCTTTCAGAGAGGGTTGGGAATGGACGCCGTGTCCCGCTCGTGCTGTTCTCAGGTGCGTTCTGGCGATGCAGGAGCCGATGCACCGCTGTCTCCTGCAGCACTGCGAAGGCGGAGCGTTGCACGTCACCAGGGCCGGGGTTCTGTGGCCTGCTTAGGAAGGTGCTTTGATCTGTGCTTAACAGTCGGTCTTTTTTTTGAAAGACAAGACTTAGGTCCCTCTCAACTAGTGACTCAAAAATAAAATCTGCCTCGATGGAACAAGACTTGTAGGTACCGTGTAATTTAGGCACCCCTTATTTTCGTGTGTGGTACACCTGCACACTTCAGGCATCAGTTTAGTCCCTGTTGGCTGTTGCATGAGGGTGCTGATGTGAGGCCGTATCGCCGAGAAATGAATCAAAGCGAGAAGGGGGTGCTGGTTTCGTCTGCAGGCTGCCTTCTAGGACATTCTAGGTGCAAGGCTTTCACTTCACCGATGCTCCCTGTGCACCAGCAGCGCAGTGGGTGGTTTCTTACGGCAGCTAGCTGCTCCTGAAAAAAGCAGGCGAGAGGAAGTTTAATTTACTTTTTTTTTCTTAGGAGAACTTCGACTTTACCATGGAAGTGAAGGTGCACTAATTCCCAGCTTCAGCTCAGCTGCAGCTATACTGGGATATGTCTGAGGGCGAGTAGAAGACAAAGCAGAATAGGGTTCTTCTCTTTGAGGACTGATAAGAGAAATAGAGGGCACCCTCCAAAGATAAACTAGCCCAGCACTGGTCCGTGCAGACCCATAAAACTATTAACACAAGTGCTTTTGAGTTGGTGCTTCTTACTGGAAAGGGCCAAGTGTTGAGGTGGCTTTGAGCTAACCTTTAATTATGGAGTAAATTACTTTGCGTGGAAGTTTTGTCACACCCTAAAGTTGATAAAGAATTGCAAAGCAGGCAGGCTGGCATCTCGCTTCTCCTCTCCCTGCACTTGCCCAAGTACTTCGGCGTGCTCCAACACGAAATGGTACAGATTCGGATCCTCTTTTCAGAAGACTAGTTGATTCAGATGTATCTTAAGTGTGGAGTTTAGTTTGGGTTGTAGCCATGACTTTCGCATCTATTTGGAGGTGTCTCTAAACTAAACCGTAAAATGGTTTCACAACTAATTGCTGGATTAGCGCTACTCTGTTATTTAGGACTTGCCTCACAAGTTTGTCTTTTACCTTAAACTTTAACATGGTAGTTCTACTTTTGCTTTCATTTGACTAGAAGATAATGGTAGACAAAAGTGATTCTGACTGGTCTTTCTAGGTGAGCAAGGGAGTAGCACATAAAAGGAGAGGATGAAGGTTTGGGTTTTTTTTCTGTTTGTTTGTTTTTTGTTTTGTTTTAATGAGCAGTTTAAGGACTTTTCTTTACCAGGATGGTACTTTGAGAACACAGGGGCAAGGAAGCCTGTGGGCTGACTTAAGCTTTTTTGATCTGAAGATGGAAAAAAACTCATGTGCTTTCTGTTTTACTCAATTGCGCAGCTAGAGAACAAGTACAGAAATTTCAGGTGGTGCCCAAATCCCACCATGGCATCTAGTTCAGCGTGCCTTCCTGTGGAATCTGTTGCTTTTAGCTGCGATTCCTGTTGGGCTTTGACCTTCCGGCACGTGAAAGCTGGCCACATCATCCCAGGGCAGATGCATTTACATTCCTTAATATTTGTAAGTTGGTGTTAAGTAACTTCAACCGCTGCTGTTATTTTTCAGATGGCAATGCCTCTGAATGTAGGAGGTGGTAATATCAAGTGTGTAAACTTCAGAGTCTGGTGTTATTTTTGCTACAATACCTGTTACAAAGGGCTGCAGCAGCTGTCTTGCTAGTGTATTTTGGTAGAATGTTTTTTTTTAACCTATTTCAGTTGTCAGTTTTCTTTCAGGTAGCATTCAGCGTTAGGTAGCAAACGGATGTAGGAGAGCCCAGCTGTTCTTTGAACTTGGTTTTGGAGGCCTGATGCAAGACTGCACGCACCTTTTGATCCTTAACTTGAGATTAAAGCAGTTAATGGAATGGCCTTGGGTATTTAAACTAGAATGTCTGGTTTTCTGTCAGTTTGCTTTGTCTCAGGAGTTTCGGATTTTGTTTTCATCCTTAAATCGGAACTGCATGGACCCTGCAGCTGTTTTCTTCTGTTGCTAAGGGAAGTTCTGTAAGTAACTTAGAACCAATGATCCAGACCTTAACAGGAATCCAAGCATCCCACTTTAATTGGGGATGGGGGTTAACCAGGTAGAATGACTTTATAACAGCGTTCTTGGGTCACTTTTTCAAATTTCAGTGGTGCTTTACATGTGTTTTCCTGAACTGTGAAGTGTTCCATGCTGGAAATCCTTCCTGCCCCAAAAGAGCACGTAAATGTACTTAGTGTGATGTTCTATGTTGGTTGGTTTGTTTGTTTGTTTTCTTTTTTTTTTTCTTTTTCCTTCTGATTATTGTAATGACTTCTCAAAGCAACACTGCTTTTCAAATGCCTGGAAACACGAAGTTTGGAGCAATTTAGGCTTTTTTCATATTTTTGTTTTCCCTTTGCATAAAAGAATAAAATGCATTTGTGTAATAAGCTCACAATCTCTGTTTGTGCTTGTGGCACACAAAACAGATACTTCAGTTTTACGTGAACCTTCATAAAACAAAAGGTAGCTGTTGCAAAGAATAGCGAATTTTAGTGAAGAACGGGCTTTGTAGTGTGTTTTGGAGGCCTCAGTACCACCAGACCTCTTCAGAATAGCTGACTTCTGCGTTAAATAAGATGAAGCATCTGTCGCGTAGTGCCCTAAAACTGCTGTATGCTTCATTTGCAGAAAACTGTTTGTGGGTGGCTTGGACTGGAGTACAACACAAGGTAAGCTATGTATTCTACGGCCGTTGAGCCGGGCCTTTGTGAACAGCAAAACAATGTACAGATACATAGCTTTTTAACAGACAGTACTGTGGTAGGAAAAATAGGATGGCATTCTACTGTTCTCTTCTGTTAATGAATAAAACTTTCTGTAGAGAGAATTCAAATATATGTTAATAATCACTTTTGGGTTTACGTTTTCTGTCAGTGTTTGAAGTGTTTGTCAACTCAGAAGATGACATTTTTTTATTGTTGCTTTACTACGATACCACTTTTCTATTGTATAATTGGAAATAAAGCAGTATATACTGGAAGTGAAATTTAATAATTTACAAAGATGAGTTTGAACTTGTAACTTTGCCTATCTTTTGTCTCACAGTTTTGCACACAGCCTCATAATGTTCTGGTTCTGTTTAATATATGCTTTTTTTTTTTTAACAGAAACTCTTCGTAGCTACTTCTCTCAGTATGGAGAAGTTGTAGACTGTGTAATAATGAAAGACAAAACAACAAACCAGTCTCGAGGATTTGGATTTGTCAAATTTAAAGATCCCAACTGTGTGGGAACAGTACTGGCCAGTAGACCTCATACGTTAGATGGCCGAAATGTAAGTTGCTTTTGTGTTTTGTTTTTTTTCTGCTCCAGACTGCTACAAAGATCTGTTTTAAATTCTGGCTTCTTATTTGCAGACTGGATAGTGTAAAAGTTACCTGGTTGTTTTTTTAATTACTTATTGTAAGAGAGCTTAACTCAAATGATTTGTCACTTTGTAGAAGCGATGTATTGACGATAGCTTTGATCTGAGGAGCTGGATTTCAGCAGTGCTGTGTTCAGCTGCCATAAGCATAACTTTTAGAACAGTATTCTGCATGCTGAGATCTGACCAAACTGGAACTTCTTCCAGATTGATCCAAAGCCATGTACACCTAGGGGGATGCAACCAGAAAGGACACGACCGAAGGAAGGATGGGTAAGGAAAGATACTTGGCGTATCCTGCCTGTTTTCCAACTTTGGGCTTACCTGCTAGCAGTTTAATTGAATTCACTTGGATTATATCCATGTTTTTAAATTGGGAGTCAGTATGCAGGACTTGAGTGTAAATTTTATTTCTAAAAATGTCTTCCGTTTAGATTTCTATGGTAGGACTCCAAGAACCATACAGTGTTAACGAACATTTTGTGTTTGCATGGAACTCAGTTTGTGGGTGTGGTATTGTATTAAGCTCTCAGCTGTGCTTGTAGTTGAGTTCTTCACATCTTGAAACATGTGTCTGGAAGTGCGTTCGCAGGACTGATACTCTTTTCCAGCCAACTTCACACCCGC